TATATATATATATATATATATATATATATATATATATATATACATATTTTTTGAACTATATGGAGGTTAATCTTCTTTTTGGATCATATTCCGGAACTCTGGACTGTCCAGTGCTTAGATTTGTTCTGTTGATTTCCGTTGTTTCATCTCTGGGGAATCCTAAGCGGTGATCAAATGAGATGCTTTTAAGCCTCTTCTTCAGCACTATCGATTGGATATATGCCTGACGTGACCAAAGATACTGATTTCCTTTCCATAACATTCATAGAAGTTCGTTACTACCACATTCCAAGTCATCACATGTGGAATTGTTTTCGCATTTCATCTCCAAGTTTGTTAGCGAATAGATCATATCTTCGCCTTTTATTATTCTTGACTACAGTCTGTCTGTATTGACTAGTGATGCCAACTCTTCAGGACTACTTCACGTAGCTTCTTATCGTAAACCAGAATTTCCGGAAATATATTAAGCGCTGATTTTATCCCCGTGACTCATTAGCAACGATTTCCTGAACGGATGGCTTCGCATGCATAGGAATGTTTTCAGTGCATACTTTTTGCTAAATGGATACATCGCAGCACTTAATTGTGTCTTCTAGTACAGTTATGATATAACATTTTTTTTGTTGCCATATTGTCTAATCTCTTTACACGTTTTCTACAATGTGGGCACATACTTTTCTCAGCTCCGAATATATTTTTATTTTGGGGTTGGAGTTAACAGAATCATTCTTCATCTTACAAGAAAATGTGGTATTGTTTCCTTATCGTAGCCACACTGATGAATCAGCTGTCGATGAAACTTATTCGTTCGTATCTTGTTTAGCTTTGCATGATGAGTTTTATTTTCTACTTTGTTATACAAAAGCGTTCTCTGAGCTCTTAATACATTTTCAACGGTTGAATTTTCTACGAGGTTGTACCTAGTTTTTAGATAGAGTACAATATTTGCTAAATATGTATTCTGAGCCTTCTTCTGCTTCAAAATTGCCTTGTTAAATATAGGCGCAGTATCTACAAGAACATAATAAAGTTGGAGAAGCACAAGCATATATATATATGCAAAATTATATGAGATTAAACAATGGTTAAACTAGTAGGAGACACTTTTTAGAATTATTTTTGTATATTTTATATATTTTTAGAAGTTGCTTGAGAAGGACCCGATGTATAATTATGTGAAAAAGAAGAAGGAAAGACAGGAACTGGAAACTGGATCTGGTAAGATTTGTTATTATCAAGTTTAGTGTTTTATTCTCAGTGTCTAGTGTTTTCTATTTTTATTTGTTTCCTAGTTCAGTGTTTCCTTTTTTTAATTTGTTTCAGTATCTAGTGTTATATTTTTTTATATCTATATTTAAAAGTATTTTGTTTGGTATCACTGAAAGATTGTTTCATTTATTTATTGCTGTTAATGCAATCTTAGAATTTTGTTCCAATACTCTATTTTTTGTACTTAAATTCTCATGTCGAATGGTGAGGGGTGTTTAAAGTTGCCTAAAATTTATTAGAGTTTTTCATTTTCAGCTTTTCCAAAATACAAAGGAAGCTGGCCACCAAACCGCTTTAATATAGCCCCAGGTTATCGATGGGACGGTGTTAATCGTTCTAATGGTTTTGAAGATCGTATAGCTGAAATAGCTAATCGAAAAGCCGCGCAGCATGCAGAATTTTATAAAGACATTGCGAAATATGAAGTTTAATTTTATGATCGTCAGTGTAGCATTTTTACGTAGTAATGGATAATTTGTAAAAATATAAATTAAGAATGTAATTGATTTCAACAATGCAAACAGAAGAATACACTTGTATATTGATATATTTTTTGATTCTTTTTAACTGTAGCTGAAATAGCTAGTCGAAAAGCCGCGCAGCATGCAGAATTTTAACTGTTGTACAATTATGCTCTCAATCTTATTCTATTCATAAAAAATTTGTGGCAAGTAATTGTAGTTCCTGATTTTTTGAAAAAAAATATTGAACTATTGCAAATGCATTTTAACATCATGTACGTGATATTTTAAGTAAATCACGAGGTAAAATATTTATGTCCGGATTTTTATATTTCTGACATGTTCCGATTATAAGATATCTTCTGAGCTCACCTTTGAAATGAAGCAATGACTTTTCTGACTATTTTACAATAATTATGGTAATGCAGCATTCATTTCATCTATTTTACAATAATCGTGATAATGCAGTGCTATAAATTGGAATTGAAATTGCTCTAGTAGATTGAAAAATATTTACGAGCCATGACGTTGTTATATGCAAAATGCTTGGAAAGAAATGTTTGTTTTTCTGAAATGAATTTAAATGACTGTAAAAGTTTCGAGGCTCAGTTCATCCAATTGAAATTGACTAGAAAGGATTTTTGCAGAGCTGCTTTGCTTGGTTGTGGGCAGTGATGGAAAGACTGAAAGTTAGGTTTGCTTGAGTAAAGCCTATACTTCGGCAGTAAGAGTGCGGGGTTGTGTTTGTATGATTGCTTAAGACTTCTGTGATTAGTGCGGCAGTTCAGTCTATATAGTTGTTCTGTGGGGTTAGTGAAGCAGTATAAAATTTCTTTTGTGATGGATGCAACAACCTGGGAATGTTTGACTTCAATGTAAACTTGCTTAATAGAGATGGCTACGAAGCTTTATTTAATTGTTTGCAGAAGATGGTTACTGTGACGAAAAAACAAGCTAGCATTCATAGAAAACTGAAAAATAAGTCCTCAACTACTAGTGTTGATAAAAGTATGGACCCGGAGATTCCTCTAATGTTGCATGTTGGTGGGTGTGGGGAGACGTCAGATGCAGACGTGAAGCAGGGGGTGGCTTATGGTCTCGAGAGTGCTAATCTTGATCTCAACACTACGGAGTATGTAAATCGATCGTCACTTACGAACAGTATGACTAGTCCGTACAAGAGGTCGGTATCTCCTGATACCATGCTTCGAGGAGCTACTTCAAGATCATCTTTTAGCGTAAGTTGCGATTCCACTTCCATTTTTAAATTGTTCATGTTTGCAATCAACTCAAGCGATAGAACTATGTGCCACTTCGTGCGTGTACTGCTTTCAAAATTGTTGCATTTTCATGATTGTTATTATTTCTATAACTTTCATTGCTCTGGAAAATCTGAGATATGCGCGTAAGAACTCATTTAATCTAACTTGCGTTTTTAACCAGAGAAGCACAATCCATTGACAGAATATATGGGAAAATTAAAAATTCAAGTCGGATTTTGCAAAAATCATGAAGTTCTAATGACTAACAAGTTGCATTTGAGTTGAGTTGAATAACCTGAGTTTATCATTAATCCTTGTGAATACATGTTGACAAGCATTATCAGTTCGGTTTTATGCATCCAAAATACATAGCTAATTTCTAAAAATAAAGGTAAAGACTTTTATAATAAAGATTTGACACTAATTTCGATTCTCATCGACACTTGGTTATAAAATTGATATTAGGAATTTTAATTTCAGCCTCAGTGCAGCTGCAAGACATCGACGTTCTTTTCTGACTACAACTCCGATTTTTCGTGTATGAGTTTTCCTTAATGAAGTAGTTAAAGTGAACTTTACAGTTAAGGGAATTACCTTGTTGCTGTATGCAACAAAATGAAAATGAGAATTAATCAAAAATGAAAGTCTTATTTTGTATGCATACCATTTTGAAACAGCACGATTTTATGATGTGCAATCATTTGTGGAAAAGTAGTGACTCCTGAGGAATTTAGTTTACTTGCTAATTTAGAACAATTTTTTATCTGTTTGATACTAACATACTAATGTCTGAAATTTTTGCGATATCCGTTATTATGACCTTTTATCATCATTTTGAAATAAGATAACAGTTTCTTTATTTTGTATGACACCAACATTATTGTCATTGCAGTATTACGTCTAGAAGTGATATTAATTTTGTTTTATTTAAATATTTCTACCAGATCGCAAAATTCCATTATAAATTTTTGTCAAATACTTCTTGTTATATTTCATTGTTACTTATTTGTTCGCATTCATTCACTTCTAATCTAAAATTGAAGTTTTTGGTATGAACAGCGATAAAACATCTTCTAGTCGAACACCAGGGGATTTATTAGTAGAATACTGGTGGGATTTGACACCTCAAAATATGCATGCAATCACTGTCAACTATCTTTATGACAGCGACAATAAACGATGCGAAATATGGTAAAGTCATTTCGTCTTGAGTTTCAGAAAATGTTTGCCATTAAATTTGTTAAAGTTTCAAATTGCATTAAAGTGCGATGTGCACTGTTCTCAACTGAAATGTATTTGTGCTTTATGATAAAAATTATAAGATTCCTCAGATACCTTAGTTGACTTTGTTCTACAAAGTCTCTTTCAGAAACTGAATAGTAAAGGCTGTGTATAGTAGAACTAAAAATAATGACGCTTCTCTCGGCAATCATTTCAGCTGGGAATTTTTCGAAAACAAATTAGGCTTATCACGAGTTGCTGTATTTTATACATTGTTTTGTTTATACATACTGTACATTTTGAGCGGGGATTTGGCAAGGCTTCTTTACTACACAATAGTATGTAGTTTTATCTCTTTTGCTCGCTCATAAATTTCATATAATCAAATAACAAGAACGTAAATGAATTTATTCTTTATGGACTTTTTAGGGTGTTGCATTTCCAATGTACCGGACATTCACTACGTATAATAAACGCGGACTGAATAGCTGCACAAGTTGGTTAAGGTAGATTAATTTATGTAACTCGAGTTCTTGCCAGACTTTAGCATATATGAAACGATTTCAGATATTGGGTAGTATTTGGTTGGTTAGCAATTGTTGATGTATTTCTTTATCACTATCTGAGGCGATGGACAGTGTACTGGTCGATAAAGTTGATTATCAGTATATACTTGATACTGCCACTGATAAAGGGAGCAGATTTGATCTACCGTGATTTTATCAAAGCCTTTAACAGAATTATTGAACAGAATGTTCGTCTTATAGCAGGAGACTGATAGTGAACTTGTTTGCTTCTGCAGCATGCAATAAAAGATTAAATTTTCTCACAGCTTTTTTCAAACAATATTTTTTAAATAAGTAAATAATAGCTAAGATATATTAGAAGATCTTTCTGAGCAGCTCTCCTAATCAATAGAAGTAGTGAGAGCACTTCTGACTACTTCTGCACATGCTAAGAAAGAATCTGACTAAGTTTCAAACTCTTCTCAAGCAGTCATCAGGCGAACCATTCATCTTGGAAGTAAATCTCCATCTTGCACAGCAACAACTAGCGTAGCTCACGTCTAACGATGTAAAATGCGTACTTCATGTGTGAGTACATTTGTGAAGAATGAAGTGAGCAGCGAAAATATTCGTATGTTTAACTTGCGTGGAGGTAGCCCCATCTGCACTCTCCTCTCGCGTGGTATCAGTCGGTATATTCTAGGAATACTACATAGCCATGACCATACGGCTCTATTCTCCTTCACATAACGCTCGCGCTCACTCCTGTAGTCTTTTTTTCATCTCCTTGCCTTCGCTCACGGCTTCATTTTTTCTGTATCTATCACTTGTTCCCACAGACAGACATGTATAGGGAGTGTGGGCGGGAGTACATATACTCCTCATTTTGCTATCTTTGCTTGCTGTTGAGTGTGTATCATTTACGTACGTGAGGAATACTGTTATACGCTGTAATGAAGACAACTTTATTGCATCTTGCACATAGGTTACATGTTATATTCCGGTTTCTCTTTTGTGTGGTTTGCAATTACTGTACTGTACCGAGATAGATTCGCAGTACTCATTAGTGGTAATAAATTTCATGTCGACATTGCTGGTTTGCTGGGGATAATTGTGGTTAGTTGTGAGCACTCAACAGTTGTTCACAATTTTGGTGAAAAATGTTTCTACATCTTTTTGCTTGTTTTCCACTAGCTTTTTTGATCATTCTGTGTAATGATAGGTTCATTCAAATATGTGACATTGTGCACTCTCTGAATATTAGCACCACTGCCATTATTCCATTTCATGAGTTATCAGTCATCACAACATTGTGAATGCGAATTTCTGTCTGATGTGGTCTTGCGATAACATCGCAATCTGTCGAAATTGAGGCTTTCAGTTCGTGCTGCTGATTTATGGTTCTCTTGATGTTTTGCAGGAGTTGGAGAACTGGAAAGTGAAGTCTGCAAACAAGTTTTTACGAGCGGATATTATATCTTTTTCTAACAGATTATCGCTGATTTGCATAGTTCAGTCTGCTGCCCGACATTTTTGCTCGTTCTGCTTGTGACTACAGACTTTCTAAAGAAGCTAAATATAATCATTATTGGAAATGGTTTGTTGTACTACGGAAACTTGTTAATATTATTCAGTAAACTTTGTTTTATTTCTTTTAAGTCATGTCTTTTCGAATGTGACGGTTGTCAGTATTTCTTTTGATACTTCGTAACTTTATTATTCAATTTAGGTATCAGTTGAAAGGAAACACATTGATCTGAAACCACTGAAAGATGCTGGTCTTCCCATTTTCTTCATCGTTGGTAAAGCTTGATGAAATTAAATTCCAAAATAATAATGTTCATGCATGAAAATGTTTTCTTCCAGATCTATGTTCTGAAGTTGAACTGCTCCAATTTCTTACCAATAAAAAGTCATATATTCAATGAAAAAAAAAGTCACATAATGTTCATGCATGAAAATGTTTTGTAAAATTGGTTAATCGCTGTACTTTTATTACATCGAATATCATCTTCGGTTTTTTAGGTGGTCCTGGCTGTGGAAAAGGAACTCAATGTGATAAGATGGTTACAAAATATGGATTAACTCATCTCAGTTCGGGTGATTTGCTACGAGCAGAAGTTAAGTCCGGTTCACCACGTGGCACTCAACTCAATAAGTTAATGGAAAATGGTGAACTTGTTCCGTTGGTAGGTTCATTTATTTTCTAGAGAGCTATTACATTTCACTTTTAATTTGTGCATTTTTAAATTCATAATTTTTAAAAATGTAGACGCTTTTTTGTTCCATCATAACTGGTGATTTCTCGGGTCTTTAGGAAGTTGTGCTAGATTTATTGAAAGAAGCAATGCTTCATGCAGTGGAAAAGGGTTCCAAAGGTTTTTTGATTGATGGTTATCCGCGAGAAGTAAAACAAGGCGAACAATTTGAAAGCGAAGTTCGTGATTTTTTGAAAATAAGTCTGGTTCTTAGTATCTTGCATTAAATTTTTGTTTGATCTATTGCAGTTTGAATAGCCTATTGCTTTGTTTTTCAGATTTTTTGCGAAATTTTTGAGGATTCACCGATAATTCTTTAATAAATATTCGGCTAAAGAATTGGATATAGATGTGGGGAGAAATTTAGGAAATTGCTTTTTTAACTCTGCTTCTGATTAAAAAAATGTCACATTTTTCCAGATTCAACCAGTTAAACTGGTGTTATTTTTCGACGTTTGTGAAGATACTTTGGTTAAACGTTGTTTACATAGAGCTCAAACAAGGTTAATATTTTTATACACTTATGAAGTTTTCAAAGTTTTCAAAATATTTACGTGTGAATTTTTTAAAGTAAAATCACTACCTTTCTTTTGTTGAAAAAAGTATATTGTGAAAAGTATACCCATAAATATCTCGAAAACCATTTCCAAAATTTCTGCTTATTTCTTTTGTTTTTTTTCTTGAACTTGTAGTGGGCGAGTAGATGACAATATTGACACTATTAAAAAACGGCTGCATACCTATACAACTGCCACTGCTCCTGTTATAAATTATTATGAAAAACAAGGGAAGTTGGTTAGGGTATGTTTTAAATGTTTTTAAAGTAGTAACGTAAAACAGTTCATAAAATGAAGACATTTTATATTACAAACAACTTGCTAAACTGCTTATGTGAAAGATGGTTTGACATTGCATTCAATTCACTGATTTGCAAGTAGTATAGGGCAAGTTGGACGATTTTTATTGTATTCTAAAAGATAGGAATTCGAACGTGATATTTTCTCAAAACTGCTACTGTATTGTTCTCACTTTACTTTACGTTAGTAGTCAGTCAAATTATTTGTGATATGAAGTGAAGACATTTTACACCACAAATAACCTGAAGTTAATACGTTAATTTTTTTTGACGAGTAAGATGAGGTTTAATGATATAGATATGGAGCTTTTATTCTTTGATAATATCATTTAGATACCTTTTTTGTAAATATTCCACAATGAGCTTAATATTTTACATTCTAGATTTATGAAGCTGATATGAATTTTGCAGATTCCATCAGAAGGTGCGGTGGATGAGATCTTCAAAATTGTTGAAGAACATCTTGATAAAGCAGTAGCCAAATGAGTGGACGTCGCTTTTAAAATGAAATATGCATAGGTTACTAGCGCTATCAATGCAAATTGCAAATAGAATCGTATTAATTATCTAATCAAATTTAACAGATGAAATTCATACTACATTTTTTGTTTTTTATCTTATAGTTTTAGACTTAAGTAATTTCTGCCATTTAAATACTCATTTCTAAAATTTAAATTGACTGAAGTATAGAGATTAGAATAAACGGGTAAATTTCTCAAATCTTTGTACAGTTAGCTAGCAAATTCATGAGCTTATTCATCAAGAAGATTAACGCGTTAACTTCAGATAATAAACGCTAAACAGTTTATGAAATAAAGAGATTTTATGCTACAAATAACTTGATTAACTGCTTATGTGAAGTAAGCTAATACAAGTGCAATTGTGATGTTCACTCTGCAAATTATAGTAATTTTTACAAAAACATAAGAAACACATAATGCAAGTCAAAAAAATCATTTATTAATTGAAAGTAAAAAGTTTGAATCAAGTTTTTTATATTCTGCAACTTATTTTTTTAAAATATGTGATGAGAATGTTTCATTTGGATCACGAAAGCGCTTGATGTCCAGTTTAAAAATGTAGTATGAATTTCATCTGTTAAAAATTTCGAGAGAAAGAATGCAAAGTAAAGGGTGTGGAACAATGTCGTAAATGATTGAATTAGAAATATAATCAACAAAGGAACATCGTTATGTAATATTGTTTGGTTAAAGACTGTATCAAGATTTACCAAAGCCACCTAATGCCATGCTTGTCGTTTTCCATCGACGCTGAGTATGTCTTCTTGCTCCTACGTTAAGTCGCATTTTGCGGTGTCGCTTAACGTTGAAATTTATTTCATCGGTGGCACTTAATCTGTGCGACATTCTTCTTCCAGTGCTATTATTCAGGAGATACATCATAGACATTAGCACTCTGGTAGTAAATTAATGATCTACGGTAATATTATGAATTGTAGAAGTTGAGCAACTAACGCTGCAGTGAACTTCGTAAGTAACTTGTATATGATATCACATATTCAATCAGTGATCGTAGACTTACCCTATATTCTTCAGAACAGTTACTGATCCTTGCATAGAACTGGAAGACAAAGCTAGAGATCGGTCATGCGACGCTGAGATGTCTTCGGCTGTAGAGTTCTGAGATGGTGTAGACGACATAGAAGATGTTATTAGTGGTACTCGTTGTCTGAAAATAGCAAAAAAGTCCGTGCTAATTTTTTTATCATGTCCTAGTAACATTAAATTTAAACTTTATAGTAAATGACATAAGTGAGGGAATTGAGATTCGAAATTCTGTTGCGTTGGAATTGTGAATGATGATAAGGAAGACGATTCAGAAGATTCACTATTGGTAGAATAAAGTACTTATTCCATGATTTTGTGACATTTAGATTAGAAGCATCAGCAATTTTATTTGATTGCAATTGGTCGATTTCAAGAACTGCTGGAATTGCTAAAGCACTGTGTGATTTCTGCCACTTCTCTTGCCCTCCTTCAGCAAATAACATTTTTTGTTCCTCAATAATTTCCAGCGTTCTTCTGCAGTTTACGAGCAATTATTGCTTAAAATTTCTTACAGCTGCAAATTGATTTGAATTTTATGAAGAAAATTTACTTATTTTCAACTAATTGTTAAATTAGTATTCTGAAATAAACTGCTACTGACGTGAAGTTCGGTGTTCGAACTATCATAATGAAGCAATCTGTCAAAAGCCACAAGCAAATGCCATGACTTTCAACACTCTTATTAGTTTTTGAGACTTTAAAAACCAAACTTGAGTGCTACATTTTTGCCACCGGTTGCTCCACTGACAAACCACCCGCCTGCACCCTTGGAGCGACTGAAATATCGCTTATACTTCAAATGCTTACATTTTTTTTCAATTGAGAAGTTTAGGACTCACAAGGAAACTGTTACTTACTTTTCCATCAAATTATACTAATATATTTAGAGCATTTCACAGTTGTGCCTAGCAACTACATTGCATACTTCCTTTTGCTTCAATATGCATTTCATTAAAAATTAAGCGGACAAAACTGTCGCAGACATCGCCCGTAAAGGTTTTCAGCTAACTGAAAGCTTTCTAGGCCTTGACTTTCTGAGATGTAATACGGGAGTGTTTGTGTATCTTAATGGATCATAACTTCTATGATCTCATTTTTCTGGAAATTATACAGCAGTAAGACCTAATAAAGTAAAACTATCTGAAACTGACCTCATGGTTGATGACCAATAAGCCAAAAGAAACATCAGAACGATAAGAATAAATCCAATGGGCAGTAGAGCAGTGTTCATGAATTCTGTTATTGAATCGAACTTTGGAAATCTCTCATAACTGCTTACTTTCCAGCCGAATCGTCTTTCGAATTCTTTGATGGAAGTGCTCAGAAAGTCTGTCAATTCAATAGTGTTATTAAACATGTAAAATAATAATTCCAAAATTTACAAAAACAAAAAGCTTTCATAAAGTTTGAAAGACTTCAAATACATTTTCAACAAATGCTAAAGCAGTAATTGTTTGGTTAAAATGCGTTAATTTACTTGAAAGTATTTCCCTGCTGAGGAAAGGCTGCTTAAGGCGATCTAACGGAACTGCATCGGGCGGTAAAACGATAACGAAGCGGAATTGTACCGCACCGTAATTAAGCTTGGGATATCCGTCGAGCAGAACTATGTGATCCATTGCGAAGGGCGTTCTGCAAAAATCCTTAGTGCCTATGATGATATCAAATTAGAATCGACACGCACATCATGCTTAAAGCCCCATTCTTTAGCCATGAACACTTGCATTCCCCCAGTCTTCTTGGTTGACATCTCCAATCAACCCGTCCGCATCATGGATCAGAGCCTTGTCTTCATCTTCCTCCCAGAACCACACACAAGGGATAACCTACCATCTGAGTCAAAGAACTTGACTTGAGGTATGATTTCTAGCATATCTCTTACATGCATGCAAGTACGCGGTGTAAGAGAATGGATTTAAGAGCTCATCATATCCAAATGACCAGACGTACGCACAATTTAATAATACAAATTGCATTCGTTAAATATTGGGTTTTCAGAAAGTTATAGAAAAAGAGAGCATTCTCTACCTGCAGCGTGCTGCATAATGTAAGAGTAAAAAGGCGTTATGACAAGTTCAAAGTTCAACTTTTTATGGATTTCTGTTTGAAGTTAAAATGTTACAGTAATGTTGATTCTCTTTGTTGATTAATGATTCGCTTTTTAGGCGTTCTGATTTTACTCAAATAATATTTTGGCAGTCGACAGCTAGCCTTGAAATGTTCAATTCCCAGGCTTTGAAATAAATTCAGATGTTCCCACATGCTTGTATATCAGATGTTTTAACGGTAACTGGTAATACGATCAAATTTTCAATCATTGCTTTCAGATCATAAAACGAGAAAAACGAACGGTCGTACGAGACGGCAAGCTGTAGCATTTAAACAAAAACGATTAAGCGATCGAGCAAGAGCTCGTCTGAACGGATCAACCAGAATCTCTAATGGGGCATCTGCACAGTAAAATACGCGAATGCCTGAAGTCCAGTCCAGAAGAGCCAATTCTGCAAATTTTTTCTACAATTGTATGCCCTTGCTGACTGCTTGAAATACTGTTTGTAATACAAATAATCGACCAGTCAGTTAGTCTTAGTCAGAAATTATGGAGTGAGTTATCTATTTATCATTCAGTCGAATTTCTGAAGTTTCAAGACTTTACAAAATAGGCCCGATGTTTCCAATGCACGCATTTCTTACAAATTGAACAGTAATTTTTTAGTACTTTACAAATTATATTTTTTTATGAGATAAAGCAACCACTGAATTAGATTGAAGTCATTTTATTAAACGAAAATTTCTTGTTTCAATGTAGTGATATACTAAAACGAGATAATCTGAAGTGATAAGGTTCACCCTGGCTTGTCGGATCAACAGCTTCTGGTGCTCCAATCACTTGTCCGATTTTACTCATAAATGATATTGAGCAAAAGACCATATCGATTAGTGACCAAGGCAACATTGTTTTTGTCCACTCAAAAAAAATCATATAATAGTAGGCATAGTAATAGTTTAAATAACATCAGCTGATAACACAAAATTGAATTATTTGATCACAAAGCAACGTAGTTTTCATTATTGTATCTGAAATCATTTGTGATTCAATTGATCAGTAATTAATATATTCAGCTGAGTAAAAAATCAAAAGTTTGTTGTTTGGTTTTGCATTACAATTATGTAGAAGTAGAATTTACGAATTCTTCTGGAGTTTTAAGGAGAGTACTGTATGTCAGTACTAAAAAACTCTCCCTAAGTAGTTTGCAGAACTTTTCTACAAATTTTGATATTCATTTTAGTTTGTGTGAAAAAGTGCTAGAATTTATTCAGTCTAGCAATCAGCACATTCTTTCAGAGCAAAGTCTGTCGATTTTTAAATAATTTGTCGAAAAGGATTTTACAATTTACAGTTTTTTGGGATATTACTTTGAAAAGTCAAAAATATAAAATTTAGTGCATCAGAAAAAATTGACGTGAGATTTAAATACAAAGAAGATTAAACTAGAGGGATCTACAGAATGAACGATTTTATGCCTGCAATTCAGCAGAGTGTAGGAATTTTATAAGAAATGGATCAGACCAGAAGCACAAATAAGAACACCGGAAGGATATTATTCATCAAAACAGATTATTTGGTTCTGCAAGCAGAATTATAATGACATTTATAAATAACAAGTTGGCTTTTATGCTTCAAAAAAACGGTATTTAATCATTTTTCTCGAATGGAAATAAAATTTATAACATTACTTTAAGCAGAATTTTAATAGTTGCTTAAAATTATAACGAATATAATATTCTTAAAGATAGAACCGCAATCTGTTGCTAAATTTATGAGATATATTGGTGAAAAACTGTAAGCATCTGCTCTAACGAAGTTTTTTTTGTAGAAAATAATTTAAACTTTAAATATACAATTAGGAAGTTATTGAAGTTATTTTGGCAATACTATTCATATTTTATTTTCAAAGTAGATATAAGAATTCAATAGGAGATATGAAATGTTATCTTTACTCACATTTTGCTTCCATTTTCAGTTTCCATCAACTCTAGCATTTTTTTTATCAGAAAAGTTTGGTTTCTGCGCAGAAAGCCTACAAAATTCTGTGAGAGTGAAATGGCAGTTTATAAAAATATATTTAATAACTAAGTCAGATTTTTCAGCTCCATTAAACTTGGCATTCTCACTGCTTTATGGATATGAGAGGCTTACCTAAATGCTGTGCTAGATAGGACTTTAAGCAGTTTAGATTCACCTATGGTACTTATTTATGAGTAATGCATGCATTCTCCCAATAAGTCCCAACACCAAAAACTTAACTTCACTGTTATTTGTCATCAATGGAGAAAGTAATGTTAAATGTGCATCTGCATTAAAAAAAGATTAATAATTCCTTGAAGAATTTTCTGTGAAACTTATTATAATAAGCACTGAATTTGTTAAAGTTTAATTTTGTTTGAGTTTAACTTTTTAATAAATTTCGAAAGTGACTGCAATAAAGTGCCGCTCAATACTCTTTATGTTCCAGTTGGATTTTCAACTTTATTATGACTGTTTATTACCCACTGCTCTGTGAAGTGGAGCTAAATTCGTTCTGCTGCTTATATGAGTGATTTGAGATTTCAACTTCCAATGATAAGATAGTGATTGTAAGAATGGTGATAAGAATAAGACTGCTTAGATCAGAAACATTATTGTACCTTCTCGAAAAGGTCAGGCTGATCATCCACACATCTGTCTTTGCTGCAGTAAAATAAGTCCATCCACTTTACATTTCTCGACTACATCTGCCACTTTCCCTTTCTTTCGCCTCTTACTTTTCTCCTTGCCAGTACTTTCTTTCCTTTTAGCTAATTAACAGCACCAATTAAGCTATTTATTATTTTCTACTTCCCCTCGCTTTTGATGATAATTTTCATCTGAATTGCATTCGAAAAAGAACAAAATGAGAGAGACAAGCAACAAATTCAATTTTCGTGACGTAGTACAGTATGTGGCAGAATCAGCTTGCAGATTACTCAGAACAAGAAAATTTAGGCAAAGGGATGGATTCAGAAGCTGTCTTAAGCAACTATCGGATAGACAACTCGAACATGCAATTCATTTTGCTTAGTTCATTGATAATTCTGCCAAAAAACATCTCTAAATCTACTTCTAACGTATACGCTATATTCTGCGAATATCCCAGGCAACACTTTTATTCAGTTTGGTAAGTAGACACACAGCAGCAAAACAAATCAGTGAAACAGTTTGATGATGTCAATTGTTAATTGTTGACAAGACAATTAATTTTTTTAATCAGTCTAAAACTAAGTAATGTTAGCGCAAGGGATAATTGTACGTTCGAAAACGATACGAGTAGCGGAGTGTAAGACAATTTTGCTTCTTCGCTGATGCAAATGCTTTCGTTTCCAAGAGATGGAGTAGGTTTGTGGCTAAAGTTCAATCTTTCCGATGCAAAAAAACAATTTTTTGTAATTATGAACAATTGCTCTTTCATTTCCTGCAGCATTTCGCATTCTGCTAATATTTTAGTGATTTTATAATTTTTCTGCTCACATTTAATTGATAAATCTACTTTTGATATCTCTCTGCGCAACTCAGCCATCATTTTCAGCATCAGTTCATACAACTTTATAACATCAATAAACTGATAACAAATTAAAATGCAAATGTTTGGCTAACAAAGAACAGAATCTAAACGTTACAAACCAACCTCATCAGTAGGAGAAGTTCAAACTGCTAGCATTCATCCATTTGATCACTCTTTTACGTTGCCCTGAAACTTAGAGCATTTTTTGTCGTTATCAAATGGAAAAAGTTTTTTCTTGCTAAACCAAATATTTTATTCGTTCTAAAATACTTTTTAAATAGTTCTTTCGATCAAAACATCTGATTTACAGATTAGAATTCCACAGAATTCAAATCATTCATTCTATCATGTCCTATACTTTTCTCTCCACTTAATCTTAACAATCTTGTAATTAATTAACTTTTATTCATTTCACAAAAGTTCACTGCACATCAATGATCATGTTTCGATGAATCGGTAAAAATTTCACGTACAAACTTATGATACGTCTGAGCGCTTTCTCTCAATCTTAACAAATGAATCTTAATAAAATTGATTTGAATCATTAGAGAGCTAGCGCAGTCATTTGAAAACTTAAATTACAATTTAGATTCACAAAAGTAAAGATAGGGCTTTTTATTTTCCCCTATGAATTTAATTAGTAGAAAGGGGACTGACTTCTAATTTTTGATTTATGCAATAATATTGTCTCAAACAATGCTAAATCGATTACCAACTCAATCATAAATGACTTACTCCTCACTTTTGCATTGCTTAAGTAATTCAAACAAAACAAATGTTTGCTTGCGTATTATTTTTAAAATTACTAGATATTAACTAGCAGCTTTGCTGAATAATTACTTTTTTTGTTTTACGTAGATTTCGCTTTCCAAGTTCATACTTCATTCGCTTCATAAGTGTGGCCAGTTTTGCATCAAATTGATTTCGGCTGCCAGAAATCTAAAACTGATTGAATTTCTACATTTTTGAAGAAAGCATCCAAACATAACTCATTGAGTATGACAAATCACTGAAGATGTGCTTGTGAATTCATTACTTATCAAATTTGATAAAGTATTTGTCTGTAAAAACTGACATTTACTATCTATGAATAAATTTCTGTTTTTGAATATGCAAATGGATATGAAAAGTTGTCACTTTCTTTAGTGACTTTTATACTGTGACATTTGAATTTTGAATTTTCTAGATGATATGCAAACTGATCAGGACACATTCAATTTTCATGAGGTTGTCAGGATTAGCAGAAATAGAGGTGTTAAAAAGGTACCAAAGTTTTGTTCCTTTCAAAAACCAGTTTTTTAATAAATTTATCAACACAGTGATTGATACTTACATTGGTATTTTCAAGAATGAAAGTCATGAGATCGCAAATTGCAGGAATGTGACCCAAAGCACTATAAATTATATCCTGAAACAGCAAATTCTGTTTTCGTAATATCGCATTATGCTCCAACACATTTAAATAATTCACGGTGCGAGCAATACAATTCTTTTCATCTACTGCGCACACATTTGGCTGTTTCAGCTGCGTTTCATGCATTGTATCCACTTGACACAACGTTTGCGCCAGTTTCAAAATGCTATCTTGCAGCTCTTCAAGTTTAGATGTAATTTGAGAATTCTCAAATGCCAGTGAATCAATGAGATCTAATTTTTGCTGTATTACTGTGCTGTTCTGAATGGTATTCAGAATTAATGATGATATCTCATGCTTCAGTGATTTTTTCATCTGTTGTACCACTTTCGTATGCTTTGCATTTTGAATTTCAATATCATTCACGACTGCATCCATCATTCCCTGAATCTCATTATAGTTTTGTCCGTTAACTTGCGCATCTTCACATAGTCTCTGCAGCTGTCTATTTTTTGCCTTAAGTTTAGCAATTTCACATTTAGCTTCAGTAAGTTTGCGGTCCATTTTCATACGTGATGCTGAATCATTGCGATCTCCTTGATATTCTTTGCGTTCTTCGCAGGATTTCAGCTTCACAGACAAATCCATTTCCGAATTGCTGCTGTTACGTTCCAAAAGTCCCTTGCTTTGCAGCTGATCTGAGCGATTGCACTTTGCAACACGTGTTCCTGTGGCATCTCTCAATTTTTTTTCGATTGAACGTCTTGCATGTAAATCACGTTTCATTCTCCAATTCCATTCTTGATTTTTTATTGCATTACGTGAAATTATTTCTTGCAAAGTATCTGTTATTTCTTTCAAATTTTGCTGCGAACGTTTGATTCCATTATGAAGGCACTGATTTTCGATTTTAATTTGAGCTTTCTCCAGAAGACTATTTGCAAGGTCACGCTCAGCTCGAGCAAATTGACTTTGTAACGTATAGTTCATGCTCTAGGTAATGAATATTAGTCGTATTCGTTATGACTACACAGATACTTTATTTCGAATATATGATTGCTTCTCATATAAAACGAATTGTTCAGTATTTAGTTCAAAGCTGATCAGGTTGGAATATTTCTTCAAAGTGAAATTACGTAATTATCAAGCAGTGCTTTGGAAAATTGTTCTAAAATTGCTGATTCTAAATGCGCAAATTTAACAATCATTTTTCCACGATTATCTACTCTCTTTCATTACATAATTTAAAATATCACACAGCAACATTCAATTGCTCTATGCTACTATATCAAATTTAAAGTACCTACTGATACATTCAGACAGTACTACAATCTGAAGCAAACAAGAACTGAGAATCCCCATATGCTTCACTATTTTGCAGTGTAGTCTTACTAAAAATGCTAATCTAACTAAAAACAATATAATAAAATGTGTTAATTCATCTGCTTAAATTGTAACTTTCTGAGCTTTCAAAAAGAATAGAACTTACTTGCATTTCGCTCAGCTGGTTTTCCAATTCACTACATTTTTTGCGCAATGCATTACATCTCGCATGATTTTTGTTGTATTCTGCAGTATGTGAAGATTGTACGCTGTCCAAAATAGTCTTGTACTCACGTATGTTTTCATAGCCATTTTCATTTCTTGGACTGATCCTGTCAGTTGTTCGTTGTGAATCAGGGCGAAATTGAGAAAACTCCAGATTTCCTCCTGATTCTTCGATACTGATCATATCATCTTCATCATTTGGAGACATTCTGCAGTTATGAACTAAAAAACGAGGATCATTTCAAAGTCTGTTTTTGAGCAAATCTTGCATTCATTATTTGAGACTGAAAACTTGTCATTGATCCTGTTGAATCAACTGGAAACTGTTTAACAACGTGATAACTGATTTGCCCTAAACTAATTATTGATTCATCGCGACAATATGCACCTAAAATATTATCATGCGTAAAAATCCAAAAGTTTTATTCCGAAACTCAAGTAAAAATGAACAACTTGCATGTCACAGATGAAAAGAAATAACAGTCATTCGTTTGAAAATTATGCAAAAACAATTTAGATCTAAAAGCTTCTGAAATGGGAAACTTTGATCAAAAAATTATGTCTCCGAAATACTTGAAATTCACTGACTCACGAATTTCTTGTATTCTGGGAACTTAATTATTTTAATTTTATTATCAGATTCACTCAACAATTTTCCGTTCGCACATTTTGTGGTGTCTTCTAAAATGAAGGACCTATTCATAATACATGCAAAATCTTCTAAGATTACACGTAAAAATCATAATTATTTATTCAGCGCTCAGAGAAAAGTCAACCGGAATAAACAAGCAAACATAACGAAACTGAAAGTAAAAGATGCAAAAAACAAAGACAGAATGGTGTTGTGGAAACGGTATAATCAGGGGTCATTGAACCGAAAGACACACTATGCTACCGAAAAAATTTGCATAGAATAATGACTTCTTAAATATGCAAATTTTGCAACTCGTTTTTTGCTTTCTAAACTTAGATCTCAGTAGTTGACCTTAAAATTAAGATGAGTCTTTCTTGCATAAATTATATGAGCTTGAAGACAGTAATGCTAGGATTTTTATGGAAATTTGATGACTCTAAATTCAAAACCAAAAAAGGAAGAAAATTAAGCAGAATCGAAATTTAGAAATTTAATGTTTATACACATTTGACATTTACTGAACATTTTCAACTTTGCTTTTCAAAATCTTTTATTTTACAAAGTATTGAAAAGTAATTGATCAGTCATAACATTACTGTTTTCAAGAATTTGTATATTTTGAGAAAAAATTATAATCCTTCAACATAATTATTAGACAAATGCTAAACTTAATTTCTTTAATTCAAATGAACTTTCTGTCTTACAGTATATAATATATCACTAAAGGTAGGCTGGTAATATATTTATATATATGGTGAAATAGAAGTTAGAATGATTTATTTGCCTTAGTAAATATTTTTTTCTGCAGAAAAATTAAAAACTATACTTTTTGTGATAATTTTTAAACTGTCGAGGAAAATTCCAATGTTCAAAAATGGATCTGTGTTCTTGCTTGTTGTCAAAATATCATTATTCAGATTGAACACTTCTGAAGATTATCGGGCAAATAACAAATTGCTGCTATTATTTGACTGAAAACTTCTGATGGTGAGCTGTTTCAATCCGTAACTAAAACTCCTACAGATTTATCATTTCAATTTATGAACAGAAATTATTTTGCAATGTGCTGTAGCACAGCTTTGAATGCATGCACAATAGTAAACATGCGTGGGGTATGCATTTCCGAGACTAGTTTTTATTTTGAATATATGTAATTCATAGTCGAGTCCTCGAAATTGTCGTGAGGAACATTCAAAATAAGTTAGTTTTGCTTGCTAAGAGTCTTATGCAAATGCAATCATCAGCTTCAAAGCACCTCAAAGGTCAGGAGATAAATTATGAATAGACACTGTGATGAATTTATACAAAATCCATCATCAACAAGTTTCTAAGTTCTTGCAAAGTAATAAATAAACTGCTTGCAAATATATTTTTGTCAACTATTCATCCCCTTCAAAGATGCTCTTCATCCAAAAACAACCACAGATGCTTGCTCCAGGAATTAATGCTCCTCGTTATTCAGCAAAAATCAGTACAAGCTACTGTTTATCACTTTTGCTAATTTTACTATTTTTAAGCTTGCTCTACTATTTATTTAGTACTGACTGTTCAAATTTTTAGCTGTTTTTCATATCTGCAAAGTTGCTGATTAAAAAGTTGACAATGCTATAATAAATTCATTTTGTCGTTCTACATGTTAACATTTATACTTTATTTTACGATTGCTTCTTGTAATTCTAAAAGGCTATCACAGGCATCTTCCACTCTATCACATCTGAAAATTTTCGTTCAGTATTATCAATGAACAAAATGCTAATCACTGCTTAATCAATGAAACTACTACCTCTTATCACTCAAAAACAATTCTGCATTTGCGTGTTTCAGATTTCACTTCTGTCTATTGTCCATTTCTCCATTCACTCTAATACTCTTTTTAGGATGGAATTCACAAGTCATCGTTATCAATTCATTTTTATCACTTCCATTCTTCGGTGTTGTTGTTTTTGTGATGAGAATTGAATATTCACTAATGCAATCTTAATTCATTTTAATTAATCATTCTTGCTATGTAATTATTTCCGGTACAAAATTATTGCTTTATTTTCTCAGACTGTATCAATTTGTATGAAATTGTATCTTTTAATTTTTATTGATAACTGTGATTTTGACCAAAACTTTCAAATTGTAATTCTTTTTCCATCGGTCGGTACAAAATTTAATAACGAATATAAGAAAATCTTGAGGTCTTCAGAATTCTAATTTCTTTTTCTTCCCGCCTCAGAGTGATAATCAAATTCATTATTACTTATAATATTACTTTTATTTATTCAACAAAAAATAGTTGTTTACAAACACTCAAATTATCAAATAACGAAATTGGTACCCATTTTTGTTACAAACACTTTTTTCCTTTTTCCCTCCAAAAATAATTTGAATTCGCGCTTTGATAAAAAATATTGACGTATTGATAATGTTTTAAGTTCAAACTAAAAAATAAATAACAGTTTATGAGCGAAATATTGATGAATTGAAGTTTGTGCTAAAATTCATGAAAATAATTGTTAGACTGCGGACCTTAACATAAACTTCTAGTACTTTCATCCATCATGATGTTACTCGAAATATTTCTCATTTCAACTCTGACTTATTACTGTAATGCATACCAGCGTCCTCCTCACACACCAATTACTGTAGACGACCAACTGGCGGGTTTTTAAATCATCCAAATATTCGAAAATTGGTAAGAGAAGAAGAATTAAACAACGAAGTTAAAAATGGTGAAGTAACTCAACCAGGGGACCATTTTGGAATCGAAAATGGCAAAACTTGCAAGCAACTTGTGAGTCTTAAAATTAATCAAATTGTAGCGCTAAATGAATTTAGTTCAGATGAAAAGCATAATTCAAATAAATGTATATGAAACAATGCACAATTATTTTAAAGTTTGCCATCATACAACTATTAGTGCTACGTGAATACGAGTATTTACAGCATTATTATTATAACTTCGAATTTAACAACAACAACGGATTAGTGTTTTGCTTGGTAGGAGGAGAATGTAAGATAAGTAAAGCCTGGATCGGAAATAAAAATTATACTTGGCTTCGATGGGCACAGAAGTTTGGTGCTGCAACCTTCGAGCTGAACATAGATTTTATGGAGACAGCCAGCCACTACCGTAAGTTGTACTGCGAACAAGAAAGATTCAGACAACTTTTCGAGTTGTTATTTGATTTAATAAACAATGAAGCAACTTCTTCTAAGCAGAAATGCAATCACTAATTCTTTTTCTGAAGTTATCTTTTCAACTTAAAAAGTAGTCGTTTACTGCAAAGTTCTGATTGAAAAAACACCTCTAATTCAAAATTAGCCATCAAATTTGGAATATTCGCAAAGGTCGTAGAAAATCTCAAAAAATCAATTAACCAACTCATTATTCTCAAAATTGTGATCGTATATTATTTTGCATATTTTATCAGAATATTTAGCGCCTTGCAGTTCTTTGCACATTTTGATATCAGAATGATTACTGATAGTTTAGTATGGTATGAATTGTGATCATAAAATTGATCATTGGAGCGATATGTCAACAGCGAGTTACCAGTATTTCACCATCGAGCAAGTTCTTGCTGATCTGCAAACATTCATCGAGGAAATGAACAAAAAATTTTTCAAGAACGTAAAACACGTTGGGATTGTTTGGTGGCTCATATCCAGGTAGCAAGGTACTGAAGAGTGCTTTTTAGTCGAAGTACATTACGGTCTGATAAGTAGCACGTATTTTATCATTAATAGTGAGTGTGATGTGAAATGATCTTTAATAAATTTTCAACTGGCAAAGGATTAAAAATTCACTTGGAACGGTATCTGGACACGTACGTCAAAAATGACATTTTATAAGGTTCAGAAAGTATGTGGTTTTTGTAGGAGCACTTTCGGCATGTTTTAGGTCAAAGTACCCAAATATGACTCTCGGAGCTATCTCTTCGTAGCTGCAGTCGATACTCAAATGAATTACTTTCGTACATTACTGATAAAAATTGATTACAAATGCCAGAAATTATTTTGTGTAATTTTTAGAAAGAATGTTAATTTTGGGTTTATCAAATTTTTGTGGAATAAACTAATATCATTTATGTAATAACTGACTGATTTGACTGTAACTGCAAACTCACCAAGTAAAAATAGTGCATAACAATGATGATGCATACGTTGTATTAGAGCATCTTCAAGTTATTCATAGCTTCCTCTGCTACAAATACTAGTTGTAATTTAGGCCCAGAAAGGGAGGAATGACTCAATTCCTTCGACAGTTCTCACGTTAACATTCATTCTGATAAAACTTATTCCATATCTAAGCAAGGAATCAGAAGTATTCTTCAGAATATGCAAAACGTAGAGTCGGTATTAAGGGAGAATAGCTTTGAATGTATGGATAATGTCGCTGGCAATATGAAACAAATTTACGAATTATTATTCAGCCAGAGTGGCCGTGAGCAAATAGACGACTTATTCGAGTAATTACTCTTTCTTAGTCAACCAATTTTCCTGCTGTTTTTCCCGGTGCTCTATTTAAGTTTTCTGTTATCAAATCAAACATCATTTTTTGCAAGCGTTTCTTCGGAATTAGAATTGCTTGCATTGTTAGCTACAATGCCATATGCATTACAGTTATCAATTTAGTGTACTGTATGCAAAATATGCAAAACAAACTCATAATTTACTTTGCATTGCCTAATATTATTTGAAGCAATTTACAAGTCATGCCAGTTCTGCTGAATTTTAATAAAATTAATTAATTAATTAATTAATTAACTAGTTAATCAATTAATTAAAGAAAATATAGTGAGAATAGTGCTTGAAACATTAAAAAGTTTTATAGAACATTTATTACTCGATTTATAGTATCTGTTCATTTCAAATATTTGTTCATTTCATTAAATTTTTAATCTTTATCATTTTTCAGTTTGTGTCAACCATTTCCCAATACTGTAATGCCCAAAGATATTCAACACTTTTTGAGTAATATCTTTGATACTTTTCAGTCGATCGCCCAATACAGTGGGGATAATCGAGTAAGTAATCACAATAATATACTATCTCCACTAAACAAATTTGAAACAAGTTTTTCTCTTTCCATAAATAAATTTAAAACAAGCTAGTAGGCATAGCCATAATTTGGATGGCTGTGTTAATAAAGCAAAGGTTGAATCAAATGTGTAAATTGTCATGTAATAGTAGAGTAGTCTGCTCGAACAGGACGAAGCACGACTAATGGACTTGGCATTTCTATGGCTTGTACAATTATGAGAAGTAAGACTGAGCCAGATCTGATGGAACGCATGAAAGCAGTTACTGACTTCTAAAACTCATTTTTTGAAACAGAAACAGACTGTATGCATAACAGTTACAGTGATTTCATTGAGTACGTGCAGAATGTTACGTATGACCCGCCTTATTATGAACGATGTCGGCGATATGAAATTTCAACTTCAATTTTTCATTTCTGAAGCGCTTTCTTAAGTCTAGCAGATCAAAAAGCTGTTCTAAGTCAAGTATACATATTGATATTGCAATCATAAAATCAAAAATATTAGGGCTTTATTGGCATGCTTGCAAGAATCCACACGCAAAATTCTTTGTAATTTCGCTGCAATCAGAATCTTGAAACCACGCATTTTGACAGAGTAATTATTCTAATTTAGTTTGATTAGCACTTTAATATTACAGTCAAATAATTAGTAGTTCGAGGAAAATTCAAACAGTAAAAATAAGCATTGAAATCGCACATGTAAATTCATATCGTTGGTTAATGCGAACAATTCTCGATGGGGATATAACTAAATCACTCGAAATAAAAAAGATTTAGATTAAACTTGATAATTGCTGCCCAAGTCCACGAATGCTATTTAAATAGGCATTGAGTTGATTTGGATAAAATTGCAGCATCAGTGAGAGGTTGGATGCGGCAGTGTTGCACAGAACTTGGCTATCTGCAAACTACTGACGATGGACAGAGTATTTTTGGTTCCTCAGTAACTTTAGAGTGAGCATTTACATACTTCAGCAAGTCTCCTTCGGTCTCAACTTTGCACATGAAAAGTGATAAGTTCTTTGGATCAGTCAACTTATTTTTTCCTCGAGATGTAAAATTCAGTATCTTTCATTAACAATTTCAGCTTTTTTGTTGATATGTGTATGGATATGTTTGGGGATGATTATGATGCAAAGTTTATTGAAGAAGGCGCTGATCGAGTCAACAAGCAGCTAGGTGGCTCTCCAACTTTTCACGTAAGTCTTTCAAATTCTTAATTTAACTTTTCCGTTGTAATGAAGTGCAATCTGAGTGTTTTTTCTACCGTAAAATAGTAGAAAACATGTAAAAAAATTTTTGAATTACTGAATGCATCAATCAACTTACAACAGAAAACGAAATTTAAAAAGCAGCAAAAAATTATGACAAACCAATAAAGATGTCACAAAATGACACAAAAGATTTATGATGAATTAATTTTTGCCAAAATACGTAAAGGCTTGGCTTTGTTCTTTGGTTTTAGAATGGTAATATAATTTACAGCGTCAATTCTTCTAGGCAAGCAATGCAATCCTTCCTCATGGGGAAAATGACCCTTGGAAATCAGCAGGTTATCAAATGAACGATGCGAGTAGCAATTTGTATTCATTCATAATTGCAGGTAATATTTTAAGAGCAATTATTTGCTTTCAATCTTTACAAAGAAAATTTTTTCACTTGGCTAGAAGTATGGGAAATTAGCATATTTTAAGCTACTATATCAGTTAAAATCTTTGAAAAGAGAAATTTAAGACTGCACATTGTTGCGATACGTATCCTCCGCGCGACACCGACCCACCTTCAGGGAAGCACGCACGGATGTTTGTGGAGAGACAATTGGAAATATTTATTAGCGGATATAATTCATAAAAACAAAAATAATCGCCATATTTTGCAATTTTTTCCCTGATGGTTGTAGCAATCATGAATTTGTCTTGTGTACCATCCATCATTTTTCCTTCACTGAACAAATTGAATTAAATAATTATACTTTTAAATGTACCTACCAAATCTTACACTACCACCAAATCTTTGCAAATACGAGCTAAATCATAATAAAAATCGCTGTCATTTATTAAATGAAATTATTCTACGAAATATTTCGAAAAAATATGGCTAAAAACTGTGTCAAACAATTTATAAGTACTAAAGATGTATGCATTTTCAATTTCGAACAATTAATTTGTGTTTTGATATGCTTACACCAGCACTGATAATTTTGCTTTCGCGCCAAAGTTTTACACGTATTGAAAAGTTGCTTAGAAGTATTTCTACCGCCTAATTGTATTTTCATAGTAAAATTGCTCACGTAAAAATTCTTAGAAACAAAAAAACATGCACTATTCTGTCATATCGAATTTATACATGACTAGAAACAAGTCAATAAAACCCGTTTATTTTATTTCGTTAATTTCCAATTTGCTTATTTGTAAACTGTGAGTCATTTCGACGTCACGTAAGAAACTCACTTTTTGTCATATTCTCAATGAGTCATCACTTTTTCGTTTTTAAATCGATGTCACAGACAAATTTTCACAGCGGAAAGTAAGACTGAAAGGACAAAAGTTGTTTTCCTTCTACTCTCTTCCTTAATTTTGTGGTAATAAGACTGTGACGAAGTTTGTCCGCGCACTTTGCTTAATACTTATTTTGTACATTTTGGACACACTCACCACTTCCAACCCAAATCGTGCTGAGAATTTGCTTAAGTTGCTCAAATGCTCTTCATTCTTCTCACGTTCAACTTCTGCATTTGCATATCACAACCAACAAATCATTGGCAATCACAATTTTTAAACCTTGATGGTCGCGCACCCCAATTTGCTGCACAATTTTCAAGCTTCCCGCTCTTTGTGCCTCCACCGCCTCCACCACCTCCACCTCCACCACCTCCACCTCCACCACCTCCACCACCTCCACCTCCACCACCTCCACCAC